TTCCCCTACCAGCTTCTCAGGTAGACCCAAAAGTCTGGGATACCCAGAACCCTTCTATTGCTAGACACCATCAGCCTGTTATTATCCAGCTACAAGATCCTGCAAGGTATATCACCCAAGCTCAGTATCCTCTCTCACTCCAGAGCCTGAGAGGACTTAAGCCTATCAATTCTGACCTTCTCAGGAAAAAGCTGCTCCGCCTAACTTCTTCACCTTTTAACACTCCCATTCTTGCAGTTAAAAAGTCTAACGGAACCTACCGCCTGGTTCAAGACCTCCGGCTCATTAACTCTGCAGTGGTCCCTCTCCATCCTGTAGTGCCTAACCCTTATACTCTCCTGTCCACTATCCCTTCAGGAACCTCTCACTTCTCAGTTCTAGATCTCAAAGACGCCTTCTTTTCTATTCCTCTCAGTCCTCAGTCTCAAAATATCTTTGCTTTTACCTGGACTGACCCTGACACCCACCGGTCCACACAGCTGACCTGGACTGTTCTGCCACAGGGATTCAGAGTCAGTCCACACCTATTTGGTCAGGCTCTGGCCTCTGACCTGCTTTCTCTGTCTCTCCCTGGCTCTAAACTAATACAGTATGTAGATGATATTTTACTCTGTAGCCTATCCTTACAGGTTAGCCAAACTAACACCTCTGCTCTCCTAAATTTCTTATCCAGCTGGTGTTACAGGGTATCTCCTTCTAAAGTTCAGCTGTCAACTCCCCAGGTCACCTATTTAGGTCTATCCATTACTCCAACTCACAAGGCTATTACTGTAGACAGGAAGTGTCTAATCTAGTCCCTCACAGTCCCTTCTACTAAACAGGAGATTCTGTCTTTCCTAGGAATAGCGGGCTTTGTACGGTCCTGGGTTCCATCTTTTTCTCTCCTTGCTCGCCCCTTATAGGAGGTAGCTCAGGGCTCACCACACGAGCCCCTCCTTCATCCTGTCACTAAACCTTTCCAAAAGCTCCAGCAGGCTCTTCTTCAGGCTCCAGCGCTCCATCTCCCAGACTTAACCCGTTCCTTCTCCCTCTATGTAGCAGAGAAAGAGGGATTTGCCCTGGGAACTCTAGGGCATCAGCTGGGACCCTCCTTTGCACCTGTAGCCTATCTGTCAAAGAAGCTAGACCTTACCAGTCAGGGCTGGGCACCTTGCATCCGTGCCTTAGCAGCTGCAGAGCTCCTTATTTGGGAATCAAAGAAGCTAAGTTTTGGGTCATCTATTACTGTTTTCTCTCACCATAATCTGTCCCATCTTTTAACTTATAAAGGCTTACAAACTTTACCTCCTTCCCGAGTTCTTTCTCTCCAGGTGGCATTACTAGAGGATGCGATGCTTACTTTCCGGACCTGTCCACCTCTCAATATTTCAAGCCTCCTTCCTCAACCTAATACTGACTATTCTCCTCATTCCTGCACTGAAACTTTAGAAGAGCTGCTACCTCACCCTTCACACATACAGGAGGGCACATTGCCTCAGGCTACTTATACCTGGTACACAGATGGCAGCTCCTTCTTATATGAAGGGACCCGTAAAGCGGGTTATGCCATAGTGTCAGATACTGAGATAGTAGAGGCACAGGCATTACCCACACACACCACCAACCAACAGGCTGAGCTGATAGCTCTCACCCGTGCCTTCCAATTGGCACAGGGACAATCTCTAAATGTTTACACAGACTCCAAATATGCTTTTCATATCCTCCTGTCCCACACTGCTATTTGGAGGGAGCGTGGCCTTCTCACAACAAAAGGGGGATCCATATCTAACTCAGGCCAAATAATGGCCATGCTGGAGGCTTCCCACCTCCCCAGGGCTATAGGAATTGTCCACTGCCCGTCTCATCAGACCGACAGCTCCATCATCTCTAAGGGAAACAACCGGGCTGACCAGGCAGCCAGGACAGCGGCCCTCCAGGGCTGAGTCTCACCTCACCCACCACAGGGAATCCATACAGTACAGCCTACACCCTCACAGGGAATTCCAGACACTAGACAAATTCTTTCCTATCTACACCAGCTCTTTCATCCTAATAATCTTGCTCTGTCTCAATTCGTAAAAGCTCACCTGCAGCCCACCGCTGAGGATCTACAGTTCTTAAGACCTATTACTGCCTCTTGTGAGATCTGCCAAAAAACAGATCCCAATACCAAGTACAGGAGTCAGCCTTTTCCCACCCACCAGGCTAGAGGTTCCCTTCCAGGGACTGACTGGCAGCTCGATTTTACCCATATGCCCACCGTCAGGAAAGTTAAGTATCTCCTCGTGATGGTGGACTCATTTTCAAATTGGGTGGAGGCATATCCGGTTTCTAATAAGCGGGCTCAGACAGTTGCAGACCTCCTTCTCTGAGAAATTATTCCTCGGTTTGGAGTCCCTGCTTCTCTCCAGTCTGACAATGGCCCAGAATTCACTTCTCAGATTTCTCAGACACTAGCTAAGGCGTTAAATATTCCCTGGAATTTCCATATCCCATACCGTCCTCAATCCTCAGGAAAGGTGGAGCATACCAACCGGTCTTTAAAAACTATTCTTACTAAGATGTCACAGGAACTTCATCTCGACTGGGTAAGATTATTGCCTCTAGCTCTCCTCAGGCTCAGGGCTCTTCCTAAAAAGCCTCTTTCAATCTCTCCGTTTGAACTAATGTATGGAAGGCCAGTTCTAACACCAGGTCTTCTATCCAACCCTCCAACTGTTCCAGACAGCCTGTTAACTCCTCTTTTATGTCACCTAAGGTCTATTCTATGGAGCTACGCAGACTGTTCATTACCTCAGCCGTGTGACAATAATTGTCCACCTCCAATACACATTGGGGATCAGGTTCTTTTCTTCCCTCCAGGCCAGCGCCCTTCACCCCTTTCCCCTAAGTGGCAGGGACCCTTCAAGGTAATTCTTGTGACTCCTACAGCTGCTAAACTCGAGGGTTTTCCTCACTGGGTCCACCTGTCTCATCTAAAACCTTTTATCTCACCTCCATCCCAGAAAAATCTCTCTTCATATACAGTGAAACAAACAGGACCTCTCACTCTCAAGCTCCAGAGGACACCAGGATCCACTGCCTTGTCACCAATTCCAGAGGAATAAGGTATCACCCCTTCATTTCCCAACCAGGGCCACACAGAGCCGGAGGCAAAAAGGACCATCAAAAATATCCAGGCGGTAAGGAATAATGTAATACAATAATCTATCATTGTTCAATACTCAGCACCTGATCACCTGCGTTTCCTAAATGCTAACCTAATAAGGGAAACCGGTGCCTTAAATAAACTACCTCTAATAAGGCTTGTCTCAGATAGAGATTAAGCAGAGTACTAAGGCCAGATCTACCTCAGGTAAATATCACATGTCTCTATCTGGACAGACCAGATCTACCTCAGACAAATGCCAACTCCAAAATAAAATAATAATGATTCTTTCTCTCTAAGCCTTTTCTATGTCAACAGTATCTTGTCAAACAGAAGGTTCCTAGCCACAGCACGGAAGGTTCCCAGCCACAGCACGGATGGACAGCCGCAGAACGAGGGGATGGCAGAACTTCATTCCAGGACCTGCCCACCACCATCCTAGGACTTCACAAGATACCCTCTCATCCCCCTGCTCCCCAAGAGCCAACCAACGCCCACTATTCAGCTGGAAGCAGTCTTTGAGAGAAACGTCGCCCCCATACCCAGTCAACCACAATTTTTTCTTTTTTTTAAAAAGAAAGAGTCAGGGATGAAAGATTTACAACAAGCCCCCACGGTCAGGCTTGTCTGCATATGCCTGGCGGACACTTCCGCCTAGCTAGGTCCAGGTCCAGATAGCCATTTCCGGGTCAGGGCATCTCGCGTGACCAAGATCCATGACGTCCCACTAGCCACGTAAGTGCGCAATGTGGCCATGTGATCTACACGCTTGCATGTAGTAGTGACGCTGATCTGTCCACGCCCAGCCTTTAAAATCTGGCGCCATGTTCCCGGTTCCTCCTTCTTCTCCACACACGTGTTTCCCGCAGGCCTGTTCACTCTCTGTCCCTTTAATAAAACTCTTGTTAGCGGATTCTGTCGTGTTTCGTGGCATTTCCTTGCAGGGTAAGCACACAACGCAGCCGAAAAACTAACACTTAGTCTCAAAAAAGAGATGGAGAGATTGAGAGAGAGAGAGAGAGAGAGAGAGAGAGAGAGAGAGAGAGAGAGAAATGAAACAAAATAAACAAGAACAAAAAACAAACAAGATAAAAGATTGGAATAAAGCACTTGAATTGCCACTGCCCAGGTAGAAAGCAAAGTCAGGCTTATTTGACAAATTACCAACAACAATGCTGGTGAATTTGAGTAGTCAATAAATTCTCACACTGTAACCTGCCTGGCAAAACTGAGGATATTTTAAAGACTGAAACAATGGACTCCCACCCCATCACCACCACCCCGCCCGCCCCCAAATGAGAATTTCTTCAGGAATCTCATGCTGAAAGAAGGAAAAGATGCCAATCAAAGGGGGGGGGGGTTGTCTCTCAGAAAGAGATTTCACACCCTTCTAACACCTTGTCAGACACCCTGCTGGGAAGAAGCTGAATCCCAGCAATGACGGTCTTTGGAGGGCGGGACCACACCTTGACCAGCACTGCAGGCATTTGCATGTCCTTGGTCCTCTAAACTTTCTCACTTCAGGACCCTGAAGACAGACTTAGGGGCCTCTCTCCATTGTGCATTCACTGAATGAATCTTTTTCTGTTTTCCACTAATTACTTGGCTCTCTTTATTGGCTTATTGAGAACAGGCCTGACTTAGGGCACAGCTTGGGAATGTCAAGTTCAAGAACACAAATGTGCCTATTTGTTGCTCATATAACAGCCTCAAGGCTCTTGGGGTCATTGTTAGACAAACGATGTTACAGGATAAGCAGAAAGGGAGCTGAGGAGAGCTTCTTTGGACAGTTACAGCATCAAGCCACAGGCAGCCATGTTGAAGCCCTGAAGGGAGAAACAGCCTTCAGTTCCTGAGGAGTGAGGGAAGTTACCTGCTCAAAAAGGTTTAGGGTGGGGACAGGAATAATCAGTGTTCCCAGACCTAACCTAAGAACAGGCAGTGTGAAAGAGCAGTGGGGTGAGAACTCTTAAAGACCAGAGCCCAGGAGCAGGGTATGGTGGTGCACCCCTTTAATCCCAGCATGGGGAGCAGAGGCAGGCCGATTTCTGAGTCTTAGGCAGCCTTGTGTACAACACGGGTTCCGGGACAGCCAGAGCTACACAGAAAAACCCTGTCTCAAAAACCAACCAAAAAACAAACAAACAAAACAAACAAAACAAAAACAAAAAACCCGAAGACTAGTGCCTTGACTCTAAGCCATCCTGCATCTAGTTATGACAGAGGGAAGGCAAGTAAGAGTCCACAAAGGCTTGGTTTTCCCCACCTGAAGTGCAGTTGCTCCTTGGATGGGTAAAAGCCTCGGGTCATGAGGAATTGTGTCGGGCTGTGCAGGGCCATAGCCCCTAGCCATAAGGAATTGCTGAGCCTGACCATTCATTCCTCTTCACCTGCAGAAACAATATGCCTGGGTCCCACCCTGACTCCACTCCCAGCTTTAACTTCCTGGCGGCTACTTAGGTATAAATACAGACTCTCTAAATGCACTCAACCTTCATCCCGGAAAGGTTGGGGTCCCTTGCTGTCCCAATAAAGTGGTCTCAGCACGTTGTGATCATGTCTGGCTGCTTTTCTGTCTCATTTATTTTTACGTTGAGACTCACAGGTGCTCTGGGTGGCTGCGCCCTGAGACACTGCATGGGATGCGGCGAGCTTTTGGGGAGAACGGGCCAGTGACCAAACAGTCACCATCCACAAAGATTCCAGTTCCTCACTTTAGCACATGAGCCCCAGTTCAACTCCTAAGACTGCCCACTCCCAACCCTCTGGTGTCCAGACTGAGAGACACGGACTGCGGGCGCTAAGCTAACAGACACGCCGCAGCACGGAGCCGTCAGGTAAGGACAGGACCGCGGCACTGCCTGCTGGTCCAGCTCCACCACGCCGGGTCTGAGCAGCGTGGCCCCGAGGAGCCAGACAAGGCTCAGCTGCATGCAGGAGGTCAAGTACCCATTACCGCCTCGAGATTACTGCTGCCTCCTCCCCATACCTGGGACGAGTCAGCATGCACCATTTCCAGCCTTTGGGTGTCCTGGTGTCCGTCTGACGCTCCTGAAGTCAGTGAAGGCGACCTGGATACCCAGGACTGGGATATGGGATCTACTTCCAAAGAACACACACGTGTCGGAGAGTGGGGGAGGATGGGGAGAAAGGAAGGAAAGTAACAGACCTGATAGGGGCAGATTGCTTCACCTATGGAGCAAACTCCTTGTTGGGCAGTACGTGCATTCAAATAAGACCGTGATAGGCTAGCAAGCCTTAGGCCCGCCTCCTGGAGCTCCGGGGACAGGAGAAGCAACTTTCACTGAGTAAGGTAGAGATCAAATTACAGACTCTTGGCCTCTCCAGATCCCAGAATCCTGCTGTCACCCATGCCTGAGCCCCATGAAGGGCTAGTAAGGGGTGCTGAAGAAAGCTGGAAGGTGTGAAGGCAATTGTAGACCTTGGGGTTGGGTGGAAAACGCCTTTCAGAGCTATAGTCAGCGGCTGTATCTGCCTCCCTGCTCTGGGGCTGTTGTGGTCTCCCTCAAAGACCAAGTACCTTCCAGGAAGATGTCAGGGCTAGATAAGCATCTTTGTGGTAGAGCCTTTGCTGAGCAAATGTGAAGGCCTGGGCCCAGCCCTCGACCCCATTACACCTGCATTAAAAATAAGACAGGAATAAAACTGAAAACAAAGTACCTGAAACAAATAGTCATTTTTAATTATGTTTACGTGTACCTGTGTGGGGGTTTGCTCGTGTGAGAGCAGTACCCCCAGAGGCTATTGGATGGAATCCTGTGTGTCATCCGTGCTGCTGTACAAAATGTCGTTCCTTGTTGTGGTGAAAACAAATGTCAGGGTTAAAATGGATGTTAGGATGCTGGGTTGAGGAGCTGGGAAGATAGCTTGGTGACTAAGAGCACCTGCTGCTCTTGGGCAGGAGCAGACTGCTGTTCCCAGCACTCACTGCTGTTCCGTGGCAGCTCACAACTAAATCTATCTCTAAAGCAGTGATTCTCAGCCTTCATGTTGTGGTGACCCCCAACCATAAAGTTATTTTTATCGCTACTCCATAACTGTAGTTCGGCTATTATGAATCATCATGTAAATATTTTTGGAGATAAAGGTTTGTCAAAGGGGTCACAACCCAGCATCTACTACCCTCTCTGGCCTCTGGGGGTTACCTTCACACACATGTCCATACTCACACATATACATAAATAAATGTAAAAAAATAAAAATTTTGTTACACCTATACACAATTAGATATGTAAAAATAATTTTCTAAATGTTGGTTGAATGTGGCGAGGTTAGGGACACTGAAGAAAGAAGTAGGAAGCCTTGCTTCTGGACATAAGGTTGCCAAGCTGATCTCAGGAGGAAAGCCAAGCTGATCTTGACGGTCTCAGACTGGCATGTGTGAAGCTCACCCCACCCGGGAATCACACACAGGCACTGGTGTCCTTTCACATGTCCCTGCACTGTTCTAGCTAATTTTATGTCAAGCTGACACAGACTAGAGTCATCTGAGAGGGGGGAACCAAAGTTGAGGAAATACTTGATAAGACTGGCTGCAGGCAAGCCTGTAGGGCATTTTCTCGATTAGTGATCAATGGGTCAGGGCCCACCCCATTGTGGGGCCCTGGGTTAGTGGCTTGGAAAGCCAGGCTGAACAACAGTGGGGAGCCAGCCAGTGAGCAAATCCCCTCCATGGTGTCTGCATCAGCTCCTGCCTCCAGGTTCCTGCCCTGTTTGAGTTCTGTCCTGACTTCCACTAATGATGAACAATAATATGAAGTGTAAGCCAGGTAAACCCTTTCCTCCCCAAGTTGTTTGGCTTATGGTGTTCCATAAGCACTCAATGCACCTAACCGCAACAGACTAAATAGTGGGAATGGATTTTTTTTTTTTTGGTTTTTCGAGACAGGGTTTCTCTGTGTAGCTTTGCGCCTTTCCTGGAACTCACTTGGTAGCCCAGGCTGGCCTCGAACTCACAGAGATCCGCCTGGCTCTGCCTCCCAAGTGCTGGGATTAAAGGCGTGCGCCACCACCGCCCGGCGGAATGGATGGTTTTAAAAAGCTTCCACCTTTCCAGGAAGGAGAACAACCCAGACAAACCAATAGGCAAGGAGGTAACCAAGTCAAACTGGAGCAGTGTCCAGATGGTTGAATGCCCATTTGTGACTAAATAAACTTGACGCTGCACTTAGGCATTTCCACTACTAGAAACTAATAAAATATGTGTGATAGGGTTACTATATTCAAATATCTTCCTAAGTAGACTAGACAATAATATGGTGTGGGGGATGTTTGCTCAAAATGAAGTAATGGGAAAATGAATATTCTTTTGCCTTGTATTTTTAACGAGGACATATACTTCCTGTCAAAATACTACTTCAAAATGTGATTATAGAATAAGACAGGAGTGTTGTAGTGAATGTGAGGTCATCCTGGGCATCATAAGAATCAAGTTAGCAGCTATTACCTAGCTATAGCCTACTTCAAAGAAGCCAAGAGGTGCTGGAGAGATGGCTCAGTGGTTAGGAGCACAGGCTGCTCTTTAGAGAACCTAGGTTTAATTCCCAGTCCCACAACATGGAGGCTCAAAACCATCTGTAACTCTAGTTCCACGGGGCCCAGTGCCCTCTTCTGGCCTCATCAGGCATCAGGCACACATATGCAGCACAGACATAGATGCCGGCAAAATACCCACTCATGAAATAAATCTTTAAAAGTTAGAGGGGAGGGGCGGGGAAGGAAGACGAGAGAAAGAGAACAGGAGAGGTGCTAAGGGTTTGGGGGACACAGTATAATACAACTGCCTTCTGAGACGTGTAGCTTGCCTGGTGTGCCGCTATCCACTCAAACTTGTTTAAATCGTCCGTGAGATTTCTTCTGGGTTCAACTGTTAAATTCTATGATTAATAAGACATAATCCCCAAAAGGGGAACCCAGTTTCCCTGGGAATATATATATATAGTCAATATATATATATATATATAGTCCAGATGGCTCTGGAAACTTGGAATCCTTCTTACTAGCTTCCCAAGTAGGATCTCATGCTCATGCAATCACACCCAGTAATAAGTGATATTCATAGCGGATCTCAGCCCAGGGCATGGCTGATCACCCAAGACAGCACACAGACTCAGTGGGTGAGATTGTCACATTAAAGTCAAGTATCTCTTTTAATGAAACTTATTTCCCAAACCTTGCTGTTTCTTAAATTTTGAGTTGAACCAGTGAATGTTCCCACAAATTTTCTAATGCCAAGAGTTCTCTCAATACACTCTTTTTAAGTGCTGCCAAAGTGATAATGGAGACCTCACAAATTCTTTACTTTAGGCTACCCTCGATAAGTTCTTTCCTTTCTACAAAAGGATGACTGAATGATTTGCAAGATTCCCTATATGTCTTAGTCACTGTACTATTGCTGTGAAGAGACATCATGACAAAGACAAATCTCATAAGACAAATCATTTAATTGGGGGCTTGCTTACAGTTTCAGAGACTTACTCCATTATTATCATGGCTGGCACTATGGTGCTTGAGCAGTAGCTGAGAGCTACATCCTGAACCACAGGCACAGAGAAAGAGTGACTGGATCTGGCACAGGCTTTTGAAACCTTAAAGCTGACTCTCAGTGTCACACTGCCTCTAAAAAGTTCACATCTACTCCAACAAGGCCATATCTTGTAATTCTTTCAAACAGTTCCACTCCCTGGTAATTGACCATTCAAATATATAAACATGTTTGGAGCATTCTTACTCAAACCACCATATTATATTTGAAGGGTTTCTCTCCAAAATGACTACCACAATGTCTTTTGAGGGCCCCTAAGAATTAAAGGCTATCTACATTGTGTGCATAAGGTTTCTCTCCAGTGTGAGCTATTTAGCATCTTCTCCACAATGAAAAGAATGCAGAAGACTTTATCACATTACTTGCAGATTTTCTCAAAGCGCTTTTCTCCGTGTTTACTTCCATGTCGTTGAAGGGAACTTCTAGTATTAAAAGCCACATTGATTCAAAAGAACTGCTTCTCTAGAAATTTGACATTTTCCCATGTTGTTTGATTTATGTGAGAGCTAACTAAGACAAGACTTTCTCACGTTATTTACAAACATCCTTATTTGTTTTACTATGAATTGGTGCATGTCTTCGCAAATGAGTGGAACTCGAAAAGCCTCTCCCACATGTCTTACATTGATAGGGTCTCTCACTGCTGTGGATTCGTTCATGTACTCGAACCTCAAAAAAGCGACGAAAAGCTTTCCCACATTGCTTGCATACATAGGGTTTTTCTTCACTATGCATTATTTTATGTTTTCGAAGAGAACTGTCAGAACTGAAAGCTTTCCCACATTGCAAACACACATAGGGCTTCTCTCCAGAATGATTCCTTTCATGGCTCTGAAGGGAGGAAGAAGAAGCTAAATCCTTCCCACACTGCTTACACTTGTAGGGGTTCTCTCCAGCATGCATTCTTTTATGGAATTGAAAGGAACTGTGATTATTGAAAGATTTCCCACATTGCTTGCATACATAGAGTCTCTCTCCAGTGTGAGTACTTCCATGTCTTTTTAGGTTACCAGAACTACCAAAGGTTTTCCCACAGTGCTTACACACATAGGGCTTCTGACCAGTGTGAATTCTTTCATGTGTTTTTAGGGAACTGGAATAAGTAAAGCCTTTCCCACATTGTTTACATACATAGGGATTCACACCACTGTGAATTACTTTATGCTTTTGAAACTGATACCAAAACGTGAAGGAATTCCCACACTGCTTACATACATACGATTTTTCCCGAGTGTGAGTTAGTTCATGTGATTTAAGGTAACGAGAAGCAGTGAAGGCTTTCCCACATTGCTTACACACATAGGGTTTCACACCAGTGTGAATCCTTCTATGTATTCGAAAGTAAGTAGAATCAAGGAAGGTTTTCCCACACTGCTCACACACATAGGGCTTCTTAACACTGTGAATTCCCATACGTCTTCGAAGACAAGCAGAACGAGGAAAAGTTCTCCCATTATGATTCGGCAGAAAAGGATTCTCGCGTGTGTCAGTTGTCTGATGTCTTAAAAGGTTACCAAACCGAGCAAAGCCTTTCCCACACAGTTCACACACATAGGGCTTCTTAACACTGTGACTCTTTTCATGTCTTTGTAAAGGACTGGGGTGAGTGAAGCCTTTCCCACATTGCTTGCAAACGAAGGATTTTTTTGCATGGTCATGTTCTTCATTCCTTTGGCCAGATTGGAGACAAAGAAGGTCTTCTTTGCAGTCCTTATTTTTAGGTTTCTCTCCAGTGTGAGCACTTTTGTGTGTTTGAAAGGACAGAGGGGAACTGGAGTTGCCCCCAAACTCCTTATGTTTATACAACTTCCATCCATATTCCTGGTCTTCATGAGGTTTATGTCCTACCTGATGATTTAGGGGTGCACCTAGAGATGAATGGCCAATGTTTCCTTCTCCATGCATATGCTTCTCACATGTGGAAAGTCCTGTAGATGATTTCAAGTTCACAGAAGGCTCTGGAATACAGCTGAAGAGTTCTTTACTCTGAAGACTTTCTTTATATTCACAGAATTTCTCTACCAGTTGGCTGCTGCAAAACAAGTGGAGAGTACATGACTAAGACTTGGTTTATTAATGACTGAACAAAAGGAATGTTGGTTTCATGCTGAGAAAACGTTTGAAACATGTTTGGACTGCAATGCTTTCCAAGACCACTTGAGGACAGTTAAGAGAGAAACAATGGTATCTATGCATGGTGGGGTTTGTCTCCTTGAGAACATTTAATATTCACCTATCATTTCAACACAATCCAAATCTTATGTACATTTTGGATGTAAAATAGCATCAATCAAAATCATCTTGGTTTTTTTTGTTTTAAATACTTGCATGTCCATGAAATAAGCTGACAATAAGTAATTCCCAATTTGCCCTTATGGCTGGTGGATAAGTCAATACAACATTAAGTTTCAAAACTGTGTCCATTTACTGTGTTTGTAGGTGTGCATGTGTGCTATGGTATGAGAGGAGCTCAGGATAGCTTTCAGGAGTGCTGTTTCCTTCCATGTCAGTGAAACAGGGTCTCTGTTAGAAGTGTAAGTATTATAGATATATGTCATTTTATGTGGGTTCTGGAAATTAAACTCAGGCCATTATGATTGCATGGTCAGCCCTAATACCAGTTAGGCAATCTTTTGGTTCCCCTGTATAACATTTGAAATGATGAGGTGTGCTCTGGTTAGTTTTCTGTCAACTTGACACAATGTAGAATCATCTTGGAAGAGAAATCTCAGCTGAGAAAATGTCTCCTTTAGATAGTCTTTAGGCAAATCTGTGGGGGCATTTTTGTGATCATTCATCAGTGTAGGAGAGACTAGCCAACTGAGGATGGTACAGTCCCACCCTTACCTCTGGCACCGGCTGGTCCTGATTATATAAGAAAATAGTCTGAGCAAGCCGTGGAGAGCAAGGGTCTCTGTCTCAGTCCTTACCTCTAGGCCCCTGCCCTGCCTTGAGTTCCTGCTTTGATTTCCCTTAATGGTGAACTGTGATCAGGACATGTGAGCCAAATAAACCCTTCCCTCTGTCTACATAGGAGAAAGTGGAGCCTCAGTTACAGTGGACACCACAGCATGTTGGCGATACCAGTAGGGTGGGACAACCCCTCAGGACAGTGCATGATGATGTGGAACTGGCATGAGCCTGGAAGACTATCTGTGTGTGCTGCCAGTGGGGGAGTTGGGGAAGTGGAGCTCTAAAGAACTTGGGAACCCAGGAGACGGTGTTTCAATTCCAAATGTGACACACCAATATGTACACTGCTGGAAGTTGGTTTTAATTCGCTTTGATTTTGACTATGTCCTGGTTTCTTCACTCCTCGAGAAAGAAAGCATATAGCTTGCTTTTTTTTTTTTTTTTAATATTGTCGGGACCCACCATTTGGTAACTTTTGACTTTTAAAAGAAACACTGAGTTTTTAAGGGGAACTTGTACTTTTAAACTGTTGAAACTTCTTAAGACTGTTAATTGTGATCTCAATATCAACATGACATGCTGTGGACAAACAGAAAGGACAGGTTATGGTTTAATACTGAGGTGTTTGTGTGGAATGAAGACAAGAGCGCAATTCTGCTGGCTAGTTTTGTCAGCTTGACAAAACCTAGGGAACTTTAGTTGAGGAAATGTCCCCATTGACCTGGCCTACAAGCAAGCCTGTGGAGCATTTTCTTGATTGATCATCAGTGTGAAAGTGTCTAGTTCACTGTAGGCAGTGCCATTCCTAGGAAGGGGGTCATGAGGTGTATAAGAAAACAAACTGAGCAAGCCATGGGGAGCAAGACAAGAAGCAGCAATCTCCATGGCCTCTGCCTTCAGGTCATGCCCAGAGCTTCCTGCTTCAGCTCATGCCCTGACTTCCCTTGTTCAGGGACTGCAAACTGCAAGCTGAAATTTACCCTTTCCATTCCATGTTGCTTTGGCTCATGGACTTCATCCCAGCAACACAAAGTCAAACTAAGACACTCTGTATGGCATAAAGTTTGTATATATGAACTACGATAACACATCACATGTGACATCATCATATTCTAGTTGTCCAAGACTGCTGTATTTGACATCTTCTAGTGCTGATGTTTAAGACAGAAATTTTAGGAGAAATTTTTCTGAGATGAAATTGGTTTGATGCTGGATATTAAATACCTCTTTTATGTCTTTGTAAAATGTCCTTGCACAACAGCACTATAGAATGTGGCTTGGGAAACAAATTACCTTAATTTTCTGGAGAGATTTTTATACTCATTTACAACCTTCTGGTTTTCCAACTTGTTTCCTAAAATGTAGAACCAGAGAAAGTTAAGAATTATTATTTACAGAAAAAATAGATAACAGCTAAGTTGAAGGTATAAGTGATCTGACATACCCCCTCCCATTCAGCTTCCCATACTCCAATTTATACATCAACACCGATAAGCTAGAAACACTGTCCTGTAATGGGCTAGAAAAGGCATTGCTCTTGTGTACCTATAGCAGCCAGGTTCCTCAAGGTTTCCTGCATCACATCTTTGTACAGCTTCTTCTGGGATGGATCCAGCAGAGCCCACTCCTCCTTGGTGAACTTCACAGCCACATCCTCAAAGCTCACTGACTCCTAAAAGCACACACATATATTTCCCGGAAAGTGAGCCTCATGGTACTGGAGATGCACACAGAGTTAATGAGAAGTTGACACGACACTATGTTCCACAAGTTGTCTTGGTCATCACACTCTACTGCTCATTCAGACTAGGATTCCCCCAAACACAAATGCTAAAAGTGAATTAGAGCTTTCTGGGAAGGAAACATGAAGATAGCATGAGCTCTTGTGCACACCACTGTGCTAGTTTCTCTTTCTGTCCTGCATCTTTCTAACAACTTTCATCACAAATTCTGATGGTCTAATACCCTCCAGGGAGTCAATATCAGCAGTCCTTAGAATGTGTGTGCTTAGAAATGCTGGACAAAATAGTCTCCTGGTATCTGGGAACTGAGATCTCCAATGATTCCCCACCTTCTCTTTCCTTCTGTTTACGCATATTTAGCTCCATTTCCTCCTCCCTAAGAGAGAACAACCTTCTTCACCTAACCTCTAGAGAAGCTTGCGGATCTACCACGAGAGGCCTACTCCTTATGGCAACACTCCTTTCGCATACAGGCATGGCCTAGCTCTATCACAAATTTGCTTTTTAAAACAACATTTGGGAAAAAAAAAATACAGCCAAGTGTAGTGGTGCACACCTTTAATCCCAGCAGAGGCAGGTGGATCTCTGTAAGATTGAGGCAAGCCTAGTCTACAAAGGGAGTTCCAGGACGGCCAGGGCTGTTTAACATAGAGAAATCCTGTTTCAAAAAAGCAAAAAAAACAAACAAAAAAGGACAATGACAATTATGACAGAGGCCAAGACCACTCACTCATCCCTTTTCAGTGAGTTTGGCCATATCAGAAACACTTGGAAAATTAGAGATTTATTTTTAGTCCTAAGAATCATAGAATTTAGAGGAAGCATTCCTTGAATCTGTGACATTCCTAGGCACCAAGAGGGGAAAGTGGGTGGGGACTGCTCTTGGTTACTGTTGTATAGAATATCACCTTTGTGACAGAGCCTAGCCTGCGTTCTTGACCTGATTGGTTACACGTAGAGCATCAGGGCCAGGAAAAGGGGACTGTTTACAGAAGAACAGCTTGTTTACCTAAGTAAACACCCACCACCTGCCAGAACACCAAGACACATTAGCCATATCAATAAGTAACAACACCTGAAAATATAACAAATCATAACAGAAACGCCAGACACAGGAGCTTTTGATCCACAACAGATGGAACCCCCTTCCTGAGACTGTAAAAGACCAAAGTGTGGCAGGCATGAGTCATGACAGGGTCAGTTGTCAAAAGCCAGGAAACTTCTCACCAACCTGCTAACATGTCCCCCACCCCAACCTTGCTCCAGCAGTTTCTTCATGGCCAAACACTCAGCCCACTTCAGACTCACCATCCGACAGCCTGCCCTCCCAGGGCAGATGCATTCGGCATCTCTGCACCTGCACTGCTGGCACTTCTGATCTGGTCCCTACAGACTTCCCCTTAGGCCTGTCTCCGCTCTCTGCCTGTGACTTCAGGACAGACTGTGATCTCTGCAGCCTCCTAGCCATTCTGTAACCTGAGCTGTCTATCATGTGTGATCTGCTGGATAGTGTCAGTGATCAAACTGGGATAAAGGGCAGGAGTGGTAGTGCACATCTTTCATCCCGGTACTTAGGAGGCCTCCCTAGATCTCTCTGTCCCTCTTTCCATTGTGCATACTGACTGATCCTAAGAAATTCACTTTCCCAAAATTTGGCATTTAGACAAAAGTCAGCATTACCTCAGGAACTTGATAAATAGTTCATACCCGCTAAAACTTGAAATCCTCATTATTGCTGGCATCAGGATCCTATGGCTCTTCTCATAACATATGCCTCTGGTGGCTATTACCATACCAAGGTCTATGCTAAGCTCTAGGCTCCTTCTATTCCTGTTCACAAGTTATATACTTCAAAGCCCTCTATCGCAGCTCAGAGGCTCCCCTCCTCCCAGACACCTCTTCCCTTAAAACCCTGGAACATTATCTCCCTTAGGCTCTCTGCTTTCCTGAGAGACAGCCTGGGCAGTTTGTAATGAACGTTTCTTTCTCAGAGCAGCTGTTCTGGCTTCTTTACTGCGACCATTTCACCCACATACACTGAACGTGTCTTTTTCTGCTTTTCACTAATAACTTGGCTCTTTTTATTAGTTTACTGAGAACAGGTGGCTGGGTGTGACGTGGGGCACAGGTTGGTAACGCCAAGTTCAAAAACACAAAGGAACAGTTGCAGGGTAAACAGAAAGGGAGCTGAGGAGAGCTTCTTTGGACAGTTACAGCATCAAGCCACAGGCAGCCATGTTGAAGCCCTGAAGGGAGAAACAGCCTTCAGTTCCTGAGGAGTGAGGGAAGTTACCTGCTCAAAAAGGTTTAGGGTGGGGACAGGAATAATCAGTGTTCCCAGACCTAACCTAAGAACAGGCAGTGTGAAAGAGCAGTGGGGTGAGAACTCTTAAAGACCAGAGCCCAGGAGCAGGGTATGGTGGTGCACCCCTTTAATCCCAGCATGGGGAGCAGAGGCAGGCCGATTTCTGAGTCTTAGGCAGCCTCGTGTACAACACGGGTTCCAGGACAGCCAGAGCTACACAGAAAAACCCTGTCTCAAAAACCAACCAAAAAACAAACAAACAAAACAAAAACAAAAAACCTGAAGACTAGTGCCTTGACTCTAAGCCATCCTGCATCTAGTTATGACAGAGGGAAAGCAAGTAAGTGTCCACAAAGGCTTGGTTTTCCCCACCTGAGGTGCAGTTGCTCCTTGGATGGGTAAAAGCCTCAGGTCATGAGGAATTGTGTCGGCTGTGCTAGGCAATAGCCCCTAGCCATAAGGAATTTGCTCAGCCCTTGCTTGACCATTCCTTTTCTCCTGCTGATATAACATACTTGGGTGTGACGAGATTTTAGGAGAAAGACGAGGTAGTTATGGAACCAGTGCCCTAACCCTCAGCATCCACGCAGCTCCACCTCCACCACCCCGCCCAACCCCGCACAGGAGCCCCTGCCCAACTCCTAGGGCTGGTTCCCCACGACCTTCTGGCGACACCGCCCAGACCGCAGAGACGCGGGCTGCAGGCGTCCCACTGACCCCATACACCGCAGCAGCCAGCGCTCAGCCGCGGACAGGACCGCGGCTCTGCCGGCTGACCCAGCAACATCTAATCGGACCCGGAGCCAGAGGAGACTCAGCTGCCTCCAAAGGCCGGTTCCCACTGCAGCCTCCAAACGCAGCATCCCCCTCTCCACATGCACGATGCCGGCCGAACCTACCATTTCCAGCCACGGAGTGTCCCGGTGTCCTCCTGCCGCTCCTGCTGTCAGTGAAGGCGACTTTGATTTCTAGGCCTGGGATTTAGGACACACTTCCTAAGAAGACAAACATGCCTAATGTTGGGGGTTAAGAAAACAGACCTAGGTCAGGCAAATTCCCTCACCTAAGAAGCATACTCCTCATTGGACAAGTCAGGCACTAAAGTAATAACCTTTATCCTGATAGGCCAGCAAACCCTTGGCTCAGGTCCTGGCGCTCTAGTGACAGGAGACACAAGTTTTCCTAGGCGAAGTAGTGAGGAAATTACGCGCTCTAGGCTACAGCTTTCTGTCTCTATCTGGGGGAAAGTGCATTTAAACGTAATTTGTCCTGGCCTCCACTTGCTAATAGCAGTTCCTATTTCTTCCGCCTCAGTGAGGTGACAGCAAGAGTTTAGAGAATTCCAGACTCAGTTGCCACGGAGACAACTCAAAAGAGCTGCCTTGAACAGACTGGTCCCACTGTATTCGGCTGGAGGGCCTCATTAAAGGAAATCCCCTGTCCCCATAGCCTCACAGCCCATTAACCCACCACCAACCTGCCCAAGACTTCAGGAAACATTCTACCCACAGAATTTACAAAAACAGGCAATCTGGTTTGCCTTTCACCCTGCAATTTACAGGGGAAAAAAAGACAGAAAGACAGGCAGCCAGGCAGAGGAGAGGAGGGGAGGGGAAGGGAGGGGAAGGGATTGGGGGAGGGGAGAGGAGAAGCGAGAAGTAAAGAAAAAGAAAACCAGTTTGTCCAGAAAACCAGGTTCTGGGCCTGCTGAAGCCAGGACCACCCCCTCCCTGCTCTCCACTGCAAAAAATTGATTCTCAGCCCCCCCATGGTGTGTTCAGGTTTGGAGGCCTCAGTTTCTCAGACTAACGAAAGTCTGCTCTCGCTGTACATTAATCAGAATTCTTTAGTATAACAGAACACACACATACCTATATGTATATGCATGTGTATGTGTATATGTGTTTATATACATGTATATGTATGTGTGTATTAGGGGATTTCTTAAAATGATTTACGGGCTGTGGTCTAGCTAACCCAACAATGGCCGGCTATGAACAGAAAGTCCAAGAACCCAGTAGTTGCTCAGTCCACAGGCTGGATGTTTCAGTTGGTCTTCGGGAGATGTTGAAATCACGAAGGAGGCTCCAATGCCAGGGAAGGCTCCAATGCCAGTGAAGGAATGGACTTGTAGCAAGTCGAGAACAAGCAGGCAAACAGCAAAAGCTTCCTTCTTCCATGTCCTTATATAGACTTCCAGCAGAAATGCAGCCCAGATTAGATCTGGGCTAAAGATCTGGATTAAAGACACGTCTGCCTGCCTCAAGATCTGGATTAAAAGCATGTCTTTTCTCAGCTCAAAAAACAAAGAAAGAAGGGAAAAAGAACTAGATTATAGGTGTGCTTTTCTACCCAAAAGATCCAGATTAGGTGTAGTCAAGTTGACAACCAAGAGTAGCTATCACACGATGTTTCAAGGTCAAACTGAGTCTATTCTTTCATTTTCCGTTGCTAACATATTTCTTATTACATTGGCATTTTCTCACCTCGGAATTTGGAATGACAGAGGTTCTCAAGGCTTTCTCAATGCCATAGTCAACAGATAACATAAAAACACACACACAAGCAATGGCAATTATTCCATTCCATTCCATTCAGGCAATTATTCCATAATGGAATTTATAGTGAAAAACTGGCTCAAATAATAGCAAAAATCCCCACACATTAAAAATTAGACCCTTAGATGTGGTGGTGCAGGCCTTTGTCCCATGCACATGTGAGGACTTGGGACAGTCCTAAGCTCAGTGAGTTCAAGGCCAACCTCTTCTACCTAGGTAACTGGGACAGCTAGAGTGCCATAGTTAGACCTTGTCTCAAAAAAATAAAATAAAATAAAAATAAAAAGTTGTACTGCTCAGTTTGACTGCATGATTCATGATGTTGTTATGAATCATGACCAGACTTTAGCTGGTCCCCAGACCTTCACACAACTGAGTCCATGTTGTACGTACCATTCCGGCTGTAAAACTCAGCATGTACACAGTACCACCAAAGTCCATAGTTCTGGGAGAGTCTCTAAATGTACTACCCTTGCTCTTTGGCTAACTGTTTTTGTTAACTGAAGTATATCAACATAGGACATGGTTTTTATACATAAAAGCTCACCCTGAAAAAAGGCTTGGGACTATACTGGGATCCCAAACACCTAGTGTAGTCACTGGCTGTCTAATAAAGACTCTCTATTAGCTTAAACTCATGTTTGAGCAGTCTTCTCTGGTGAATACCCCACCACAATGTCTCTTACAAACATTTACAACTGACCTTCCAATGAATGACACGAGGCACCTGACCCTAAGTGACCAGTGTAAACGGACTAAATGGGGACTGGAAAATCCAGCCTCTCTTTGCAAATACAGGCCCCATACAAATGGTCCAGGCAAAGACTAACTATCCTCTCCCCCAACTGCTGTAAAAGCCTTCCCTATCCTCTCAGTAGTGCACTGGGTTCTGTCCTCTGGCCGTCAGCTGGGGCTGCACAGCAGTGTATTTAATAAATTGTCCAATAGTCTACTTTTCTCTTTGTTAGGTCCAAAGAATCCTCCCAAGATGGCAGTGCTGGTAACAATGTCCTAACAGAAGGACTTTGGCTGAGTAAAAGAAGGAGGTTTATTGGATAAACTAGCCTTGTTTCTGTTTACCAGAGAAACAGATCTCCTAAGGCAGGTTTCTGTTTGTCAGGAAGATCCCTTAATCCATCCCAAAGATCAACTACCTTGGGCAGGAGCATCTACTTCCCAGTCAATCCTAACAACTCCAAGACCCCACATGATGGCTGCCATAGAACATCTGCCAGCTTTCACTCCATTTTGCTTCTGTCTCCCCACCTTTCCCCAACCCTGAGAGATGGCCTTAGCAGTGGGACCACCGATGAAGCTTTCTTTCCACCACGAAGTGGTCCACTTTGTGGTCTCACCGCACCCAGGCTTCAAAGCAGCCCGCATGTTCCTGGCCTGTCAGAATTGTCCACTATGGGCCAAATAGAAGGTGCCAAGGTTAAAAATGAACCAAGAGAGAAAAGAAGGAAATACCTGATGTCATCCAGATAAGTGGGCTATTAAGAAAAAAGGAAAATCCACACTCACAACGTCCCCTTCCCAAGTTGAAAGACAAGATTAACATTGAGAGGCAGAGCCAGGCGGATCTCTGTGAGTTCGAGGCCAGCCTGGGCTACCAAGTGAGTCCCAGGAAAGGCGCAAAGCTACACGGAGAAACCCTGTCTCGAAAAACAAAAAAAAAAAAAAAAAAAAAAAAAAAAGATTAACATTGAAACATCCTAGAGAGGATCACTGGTGAATGGCCAAGGGCCATAGGGATGGGACTCTAAAAGGTTGAAACCTGCTCTTCTCCCCAGTTTCAGAGGTGGATCTCTATCTCCAAACCTACATAATTATCAAAGGGACCTTCTCTCTGTGAGAAAAAGTCAGCCAGTCAGGTGTAGCAGTGCACACCATTAATCTCAGCACTCAGGAGGCAAATGGATCTCTGAGTTCAAGAGCAGCCTGGTCTATAGAACTAGTTCCAGGACAGCCAGGGCTACACAGAAACCCTGGCTCAAAAACAACAACAAAATAAACAGAAAAAAAAAAAGAAAGAAGTCACCAGAGGAAAAAAAAAAAAAGAAGAATAGACTCAGTTCAACCCCAAATAAAAGAGAGCAGACTTTTAAGAGTCTGAGAGTATGGCAGCCCAAAAGCCTGAGCTCAGTGTCCCAGGGTACAGGAGAGTGAGCCTGGCTAGGCCTGTCTGTAGTGGAGAGGAGGGATGGGAAGGACCTGACTCCACCAGACACAGAAACTGCTTTTTATTTTTGTAAACTGCAAAGTGAGAGATATGCCAGGTTTCAGGAGTTTTTGGATCTCTGGGCTCCAGGCACACGATGTAGCTGGTTGCTTTCCAGGAACTCCATGGACAGCACACTTTTGAAGCCTTGGGCCTGTCACATGGCCCTGGTTTAGGGTTGAGGTTTCCTTTAAACATTCTCACCTAAACTTGGGAATACAGACACCTTTTCTCCACAGGACCCACACTGTTGAAGGCTTTCCCTAAGCCTGGCCTTCACAGGAACTGTGCTTTTCAAATCAACACACTATCCAGAAAACACCACCACCCCAGCAGCCACCACTTCAGTCATGTCTGCACCCCAGTTTCCTGTGTCCCTACTTCCCACACATGCTCTACACACAGACACTTGTGTAGACACAAAAAGTTCAAAAGTTAAAAAAGCCAAAACCAAGGAGCAAAATTCCCCTCTTAAGAGCAGACAAGCCCCGAGGGGTCGGAGGCTGATCCAGCAGTTTGTGATCGCTTAGATAAACAGTTAGTGCCTGGTTCATGAGGCAGGGCCTTGCCTCAGTTTGAATACTGAAAGACACCAGTCAGTCCTCAGGTGTGAAGACTGTGTGTGCATGGTACAGGGGCTTGGAGATTTATGGGGTGGAAAGGAGTGGTATGAAAGATTAGATTTACAGGTCAGTTCCCTTCACATCTCAAAGTGACAGATACCAGCCGGGGAGCAGAAGCTTCCACAGGTGTCATCAGTCAAGTCAACTTTCCTGTTCACGGGTTCTCATCAGTCAAGTCAACTTTCCTGTTCACAGGTTCTCAGTCCACTGGAGGGAGGCTCTTCGGTTCTTTTTTTGAAGGGGTGTGGGGTGTGGTGGTGGTTGAAATGGTCTCTCTCCACAGTCCTGGCTGTCCTAGAACTCACTCTGCAGACCAGGCTGGTCTTGAACTCATAGAGAGAGAAAGAGAGAGAGAGAGAGAGAGAGAGAGAGAGAGAGAGAGAGAGAGAGAGAGATCCACCTGCTTCAGTGAGTGCACGAGCCATCACTTCGTGGACCAAGGGCCATTCTTATTCAAACCACCACACCCTGCTTCTGTTTTCCATCATCCTCCTTCAAACATCTGCTGAGATTCAGAGCTTGCTTGCCCTGGAGTTCTTCTGCTAAACTTTAATTAAATTATCCTCCACCTCATTTGCATCCATTCTTTACGTTCTTTTATTAATGAGACTAAGAACCCTGAGAGGGGATGCCAGTCTCAGTGATGGACTCAAATCTTTCTAAGACCACAGCCTAAAATAAAGCCTTCCTGCCCGAGATTACTTCAGTCCCATATCTGGTCACAGGGCTGCCTTGAACATTCCTATACATGTTTGTGTTGCACACACACCCAGTCGACCTTCAGGATAAAATCCTGTGTCACTCTCCTTGAGCTGACAAGCTGTTTTCCATAACAGCTGCAACAGTCGAATTCTCTCTAGAAAGGTGTCAGGGTCCCAGTTACTCAACATCCACCCCAATCAACACTTGCTGCTTCCGCTTTCTGGATGCCAATTTTCCTGGTGGGTGTGAATTGACCTTTGTCATGGTTTTCTCTACGTTCTCCCAATTATTAAGGACATTGAACACCTTCCTAGGTACTCTGTAGCCAACTGAATAACATCTTAAAATAGGACATTGTATGTATGTCATTATTAGGGGCAAATAAAAATACATACAAAAATACGGTTGTAGGGGTTAGAGAGATGGCTCAACATCTAGAGAACACTAGCTGCTCTTCCAAGGACCCAGGTTCAATTCCCAGCACCCATACCCAGTTCCAGTAAACCTGACACTCTTTTCTGGCTTCTGTGGACACTGCACAGATGTGATGTACAGACATACATGCAGGCAAAACACTCATGCAATACAATAACAACAAAATAATTTAAAATATTGTTATAAATAAACACTAAAGATGTGTCTGAGAGAGTATTAACAATGATTACTTAGTATATTACATTCACATGTGATACATTTCTGTTTTGCATCTTCCTTCTTTTATGGGAACGTATTTGAATAAGTATTTGAAGTGAGAAGCCTAGAGGCAAAAATCACAGATGTGATTTTCAGAAGAGAAAAACATTTTTTTTTTTTTTTTGGTTTTTGAGACAATGTTTCTCTATGTAATAGTCCTGGCTGTCCTGGAACTCACTCTGTAGACCAGGCTGGCCTTGAACTCAGTGATCTGCCTGCCTCTTCCTTCCAAGTTGCTGGGATGACAGGTGTGAGCCACCATTGCCTGGCCAAAAACATACTTTTCTTTATCTCTTTTTGAGGCCAGAAGTTAGACCTCACCAAGCAGTCAGGAAGGGGGCTCCTAACCCTGAAGGCTTCCCCTCAATGACAATCCCTTGCCCACCATGGTTGGTTCTTAGAAAAACTACAGAGACCCGGGTGGCTGTGGTGGTGCACACCTTTACTCCCAGCATTTGGGAGGCAGAGGCAGGCAGATCTCTGTGAGTTCGATGCCAACCTGGGCTACAGAGTGAGTTCCAGGAAAAGCTCCAAGGCTACACAGAGAAACCCTGTCTCAAAAAAACAAAAACAAAAACAAAAACAAACAAACAAAAAAGAAAAACCAGAGATGCCTGGTGTGGTGGCACACACCTTTAATTACAGCTCTTAGGAGGTAGAGGCATCTGATCTCTGAATTCAAGGCCAGCCTGGTCGGCTGAACAGGGAGGGGCTGGGCTGTTACACATAGAAACCCTGTCTCAAAAAAACCAAACCAACCAACCAACCAACCAAACAAACAAACAAAAAACCTCACAGAGTTGCATAGCCAATTGCTCTTGGCAGTTCACGTCTGTTTTCTCTAGGGTCCCTGACTCCCTTTGCTAAGTGGACAATGGAAAGCATGCTAATTGGCAGCTCATGACTACATCCCCTAAAGTCACTCTCACTTTACAACATCCTTTTTAAAACCCTAGGCAGGATCCAGACAGCTGCAACTTCCCCTTGGGACTCCCCTCCTTACAGATTTCATTCAGGGACTCAGGATAAACCAACTTAGCCTTGGCCTCTGGTCACTATTGACTGTTCACCCTCTTTGTGTCAATCCCAAGCCCATTTGAATCTCTTCAACAGACTTCTTTGCACTCAAGGAGACCATCTGCATCTCATTTTAAAGTTGTATTTATATTTTTATTTTAAATTATGTGTATGTGGGGCTGGAGAGATGGCTCACAGGTTAAGAGAGCTTGCTGCTCTTCCAAAGGTCCTGAGTTCAATTCCCAGCAACTACAGGGTGGCTCACAACCATCTGTAGTGAGATCTGGTGCCCTCTTCTGGCCTGCAGGGATACATGCAGGCAGAGCACTGGATACATAATAAATAAACAAATCTTTTTAAAAAATTATGTGTGTCTCTATATATGTAGAGGTTGTTGAGAGGTTTTTTTTTGTGTGTGTATATGTGTGCACATGTGAGCACAGTTGCTCACTGAAGCCATAAGAGGGCATCAGAACTTCAGATCCCCTGGAACTGGAGTTAAACCTGAGGTAGGTGCTGAGAACCAAACTTGGATCCTCTGAAAGGGCAGTAAGTACTCTTTGTCACTGAGCCATCTTCCCAGTCCTTACATCTCACTTTTTAAATTATTATTATTACTATTATTATTTTATTTATGTATTTATTTTGAAGCAGGGTTTCTCTGTGTAGCAGTCCTGGTTGTCTTGGAACTCCCTCTATAGACCAGGCTGGCCTCGAACTCAGAGATCTGCCTGCTTCTGCCTCCCAAGTGCTGGGATTAAAGGTGTGCACCACCGCTGCAGCCCGGCCTTCATGTTACATTTTATTTGTTTCGTTGTGTTGTTTTGTTTTAAATGCAGGGGCATTAAAAGAGAAGAGATGGAATACATTGCTTCCCACGTGCTCAGCAAGGGCTTTATCATTAAGCTAGCCCCACTGTGAGGGGCATCTCCAGATACAGCCCTTGTCCGTAGTGAAAAAGGAGTGGATTCCAACACCTCCAGTACCCATTAATTACCCGCAATCCTTTGCTTTCTTTCTTACTAAGGAAAAACCTGAAGACATCACTGCATAACACCCTAGAAGAGCCTAGCACAATGACCCACAGATTTGTAGTGTCAGTTTGCAAGGCCGAGGCAGAGCTTACTTTAAGACCAGGAGTTTGAGACTGCTCATGGTGACATAATGAGACCCTAACTTAGGGGAAAAAAAAGAAAAAAGACAATGAAAAAAATGCCAGGCTTTAGACTGAGTAAGCACAGTAATTTATGCCCACCCCTCCAGAAAAAATAATTCTGAGGTGAGAGAAGGCAGGTCTATCAGGTGATTAAAACGGGGGTCAAAGTAGTGGAAATGGAGCTGAAATTTAACCTTTTCTTGGCTTCCTACGTCCAGAGAGTAGTCCAGCTTGGCTGAAGGAGAATACACCTTCACTATAAAGGTCAATTAGAGAAAGGGTCTTTGGCTCAGACACCAGCCGGCCTCCCTCACCCACGCACTGGATCCGTAGCGACCCCTGCAGGCGTTCAGTAAGGTTCGGGTATGGGTGACAACTCTGTTTATTCTGGGATCCGCAGAGGTAGTTGGGTGGGTAGGGTGGTCCCAGGCCAGGTGTAGGGTTACTTTGTGCCCCTGCTCAGCGGCTCCACCCGCAGCCACAGCCCGCCCTCTGCGCGCAGGATCAGCTCCGGCTTCCGACGCGGTTCCTTGTGGTCCGGCAGGACGCGGAAGCGCAGCAGGGTGAGCGCCAGCGCCACCTTCATCTCGCTCATGGCGAAAGTCTGTCCTATGCAGTTCCTGCGGGAGGGCGGGGTGGGGACTCTGACTGTGCCCGGGACCCAGTTAGGCACCGTAGGACCCAATCTGACCCGGTCCCTGCGGCGCCTGATCAGCCAGAGGGGCAGGAGGGACAGCGCTTGGGTATCCTGCTTCCCCAAGCTCTTGCAGCCTCAGCTCCCAGTTCAAACCAGGGCGGGGCTCTGAGCACAGAGTAGCAACCCTTCACCTTCCAACCCCTACTCTCCAGACCTCAGCAAATAACCTGAGTAGAGGTCAGGAAGGAGACCCAGAACCCGACCGCCCCAATTCCCCACTATTTCCACTGTCAGCCCTAGACCCCACTCCATTAACCCAAGCCCGCTGCTCTCACCTGGGCCCCGCTGAGAAGGGAATAAATGCCAGAGGTGACCTGTCTTTGATGTTTTCAGGGTCAAAGCGGAAGGGGTCATAGACCTGCAGAAGACATTGAGCCAAGGTAGATGAGTGACCTTCCAGTACAACTAGGAGCAGAGTCCAGAGTGTTCTCGGGGAGGTGAGGTCTGATTTCCTAGATCAAAGCCACACCTCTTCCCCTAGTATCCCTACCACGCAATGTGGGAAAATAGGGGATAAGACAGGCAGCACCTCAGGGTCCGGCCACACAGATGGGTTGTGATGAATCCCAAAGATGCTGATGAGGCAGACGACACCTGAGGGAGAAGAGGGAGTTGTACCGACAAGCCTGTGCTGCCTACCCTGGACCCTCCTTCCCTATCCTATGTGCACCTTTAGGGATGACCCGGCCATCTGGGAGCACAACGTCCTGGGTGCAGCATCGGGAGATGACAGGGACCGGGGGATGCAGCCTCAGACTCTCTTTGATGCACATGGTCAAGAAGGGCAGCTGGCTCAGGTCGTCCCTAAGGAAACCCTTTGAACTATTACTCAAGGAGCAAGAGAGAGACTTTTGTAAGTGTGTGTGTGTGTGTGTGTGTGTGTGTGTGTGTGTGTGTGTGTGTATGAGTGCAGGTCAGGGCTTCAGATCCACTAGAACTGAGTTCCTGATGGTTGTGAGCTACCAGATGTGGATGCTGGGAACCAAACTTTTCAAGAGCAGGAAGTGCTCTTAGTAGCTAAGCCATATCTCTAGCTCCAGCACACTTAAATGCCCAAATATCACCTATGAGTTCCTGAACATAGCACTACAGTAAGATCTAGGGTATAGGAGAAGAATAAACACTCATGGAAGAAAACATCTATTGGAAAGAAAAAAGACTAGGGGAAGTACTTTCACTGAACACATGCAAAATATCACCAACTTGTCTTTATCTCTGTTCTCTCAGTAACACAATTTTTTCTGTTTCAAAGCCAACAACTGCTTCCTTGCTAGCCAGCCTTGGTACCAGGTCTCTCCTCTGGGCTCACATTCTGTGCCCGTGAGCAAATATAGGAAAGTCATCAAAATGAGTGACTCAACTCCTACTTGAGGAAGAGAGCCAAGGAGAGAGGAATGTGCCAGCAAGACCTACACTCACCATTCAATCTCCTCAGGCTCTCGGTCCTTCAGCAGCTCCCGCACCTCCTGCCGGCAGCGCTCCTGGTATTCTGGGTGCTTTGCCAAGTTATACAGGATCCAGGAGAGCCCACTGGCTGTGGTGTCATGGCCTGAGGGGCAGATAGGCACGGGTCTCTGCACTACTTCAGCACTACTGAGTGGACAGCACCCACGTTATGAAGTCCGGGAAAGGATGGGAAAGGGTAGAACTGAAGGATTCCAGGTCCTCTCAACGTCTCAAGATGGAGAAACTCATGCCTCCTCCCTAGTCCCACACTGGGACCCTCACCCTCAAACATGAAGGTGTCAGCCTCTGCTCTGATGTCCTCATCTGACAGCTCCTTTCCATCTTCATCCTGAAGACAAAGCAAGACCCGCGAAATCTCAGAAGTTCTGAAAATTTCTGTGTTTAAACTATGACATTTTCAAAAGATCTATTGTTCAGCCAGAAACAAAAGGCCACCCACCACTGCATATCTCTTGGCTATTACTATTGGTACAATCAGAACTTCCCAGGCTTTCTGCTGGTTATCCTGTTTCCTGTGTTGTTCACAGTTGGAAGAGTCAGCAACCCACACATAAATGTCACCATGTTTCTGCTTGAGAGGCATTTAGGAGAAACCAACAGTGACTTGATATGTAGGATGACTGTATGGCAACTTGCCTTGGGAATCAGAAGTAAATCTTTACTCCAAAGACTTCTTTCCATATTCAAAACTGCTAGATCCAGGGAACCTTATCTTATCTGTTGAAACATGGTTTGCAAATCTACAGACTTTGCCCTGGAGAGAACCTGTTTAACTCCAGAACAAAGTTTTCTCTCTCTTTCCTTCCTCCTTTCCTCCCTCCCTCCCTCCCTCCCTCCCTCCCTCCCTCCCTCCCTCCCTCCCTCTTTGTTCACTATTTACCACCTTGAGGGGAACTAGATTCAGGTGTACTTGTTATTCTACATGAACCACAGATGATAATGCACTGCCCTTTCTCTGTGATGTAAACCCTGCAGCACAAACAGGTAAACACTTCATCTCCTGGGAAGGGGGAAAATGGAAAAGCCCAGGGGGAAAATGGAAAAGCCCAGGGGGAAAATGGAAAAGCCCAGGGGGAAAATGGAAAAGCCCAGGGGGAAAATGGAAAAGCCCAGGGGGAAAATGGAAAAGCCCAGGGGGAAAATGGAAAAGCCATTGCTGCATCCTGTTCTGGCTGTGCCTGTTGCCATGTCTAATTAAGGGCTGCTGTGATTATTGATTTGAAGCAGTTGCCAGCATGTGTGTGTGTACAGACATAAATGCCACACAGTGATGTATTAACCTGTGAAGTGCTTTTCACAGTTTCAGCCTTGGCAGTCTCCTGAAGTCTGTATTCCAGGATCATTGATAAACTTTGCCTATGCATGCCATGTCTCTCCCAACCCCACACACCCTGCATGGCTCCACAGTGCCCTCTGTATCAAGCTCATGTTATTTGACTTGACATTTGGCATTGATATTCATCCTGCTTCTCGATAAGCCCACCTTGACCAACAGCAGCACATCAATGAAATCCAAAGTCTTGTTCTCAGCCTTGGACTTAAGGAAATCATCCAAACCCTGATCTGGGAGGGTGCAGCGCCGCTTCTGGATGACAGCATCAGTGAATTTATGCACCAAGTTGCAGGCCTTACGGAAGCGCATCCCATCACGGGTGAGATCGTACAGCAGGTCAATATACAGCAGAGGCTGTTGGTGCCTTTTGGCCACTAGAGCACTGAGCTCCAAGATGGCAGCAATATATTCACTAGGCTTCCTTCAGGATTTGGACAAAGGAGACAGCAATTTAAAATACATGAATCTTGTGCTTTTTACCAGCAGCCAGGAGACATTGGGAATGGAGTAGCCAGGAACAGTTGGCCACAGAAGACGAGTGGAATGAGCCCTGAGATTCAACTCTCAACAAACTCATCACGTCTCTGTGAGCTGCCTCCATGCCCGTAGGCCCCCAAACCACAGTGTGGACAGCTCTCAACACTGACTTGTTATGAAGACACTAGATGAGTCAACAGTGGCAACATTGATACTGATAGGTGAGCTTAACCCTGGGTCCTTTTGAAAAAGAATGAGGTCCAAGCTAGATAAACAGTTTAAGGAAGGAGGTATCATCAGCTCTGCAACTTAGAATTAACTCCCTAAGGTGTGTGTGTATGTGTGTGTGTGTGTGTGTGTGTGTGTGTGTATTCTTGAACTTTATTTATATATTATGTATTTATTTATTTAAAATTTTATATTTATTTAAATATTGCTATATTATTTATTTACATATTTTTGGTATATAATTTATTTATTTTGTTGGGCATGGCAGCACATGACTTTAATCCCAGCACCCTGGAGGCAGAGGCAGGTAGATCTCTGTGAGTTTGAGGTCAGCCTGGTCTACATAGTGAGTTTCAGGCCAGCTAAGGCTACATAAAGAGACCTTGTCTCAAAAAAAAAGAATTTATTTTTATTTTATGTGTTTTGCCTGATGTATGTATATGTACACCAGTGTCCTTGAAGGGCAGAAGAATGTGTTGGGTCACCTAGAACTGGAGTTACAGATAGTTGTAAACTTCCATGTGGGTGCTAGGAATCAAACTTAGGTCTCTGCAAGTGTCAGCTCTCCAGCTCTCCTACAGAATATTCAAGGCCATAGAACTTCAAGATGTGGGGGCTAGGGAGGAATGTCTTAGGACATTAAGTATGTTCTTGATGAGAATAGTCTATCTGTCTGCCTCTTTGTTTGTCTGTCTGTTTCTGGATGCTGTGAGGCATCAGACTCTTTTAACAGGTGCTCCTGGCTGTGATGTGCTGTTATTCAGGCTCAATGGAGCCGACCGACCACTGACTAAGGCTTCCGAAACCATGGGCCAGAATCGGCCTGCCCTCAGCTCAAGCTCTCTCAAGTATGTTGCCACATGGTTGAAAATATGACTAGCACAAGAAATATGACGAACTCTTTCATAGTTTCCCCGGAACCATAGGCTAAAAGTACTCCTGCTTTACACTGGCTGTGTGATTCCTTGAATTTCATTTCTAAGGTGCCTCCTCATTTCCTTTCCCACCAGTTCTGCTTGTCACCATCTCTGTGGCTTTACTGAAACAATCCTACCTCCTGGGAGGAAGAATCACTTTCTCCTTCCCCAGGTCTTTCAGCGTTGGTTCTGAACCATCTCCTCTAGGGAGGCCACTCTAGTTCTCCTGGTCAGTCCTCCCTTCTTTTGGTTCATGACCCAGGTTCTGAGGCCCAGAACAAGGACTCACTCCTGACAGTTGCTGTTAAAACTGAAGACACATTTTTGCAGACTGTCCAGAGTCATGAGGCTGACATGTTCAAACATGTCCAGGCGGGCGCTGCCTTTGGAGATCATGTGCTGCCATTTGGCCTGGCAGAAGGAGAGAGGACTGGGATTAGACCTTGGCTCCTTGAGACCCCGCCTAATCAAAACCCCTGACCCAGAACCAGCCTCTTCATCTTATGCTCCAACCACACAAAACCAGAAATAGCCAGGGTGTGGAAATGAGGGTTCCAGCGACTCACATGCATGATGTTAGTGCTGTCATTGAAAATCTTCACATACGGCTTCAGGATGTTGAAATGGAAGGCAGGTGTCAACATCCGCCGGTGGTGGCTCCACTTGTCACCAGCACTCAGCAGGAGCCCATCCCCTGATGGAGCAGCCATAGTATTAGGCGAGAGTAGACCTTTCCCTGACCCCTAAGGGTGTCCTTTGCCCTCACCTGCAGATACTCACCCAGCCAAGGTTTCAGAAAGCTGTAGAATATCACGTCCTTGAGAGCAACTGCAGCTGACATGAACAAGGACAGTTGGGGGTCATAGAGTGAGTGAGGGCAGACCATGGAAGGCGGGTGGGAATCCCTCCCAGGAGTCTGTCCTTCACCTCCAAAGTCCACATGCCATGAAGAGAACCAAGGACAGAGGAAGCAAAATGAAATTGAAAATGAGAGAAGACTAGACCAGGCAGCAGCAGTAGCAGCAAGTAAGACAAAGGTATGGCCTGACATGCTACATTATGCTGCAGCACCACTTTACATGGCTTCTACATAGTCTAACATGTTTGCCATACCTGATCCCATCACAACACTCTGTGACATTTACTGGAACCTAGGTCTCTGTCATCCAGGCACCCTAGGTGTCTGACATTTCCTGAACAGATATGGGACACATCACAAGGACACATAAGGGTTAACCTGACACATAACTACCTTGACATCTTGACCCCTTATGCTATAACATGGACCAGAGATCATCTGACAGACCTCTGTGTATACCTCAGTCAAGCCGCTGACAAGATTTGAGAATGGTTATGCGTGGTGGTTTGAATGAGAATGTCTCCCAGAGGCTAATGTACACGAGTATTTGTTCTCCAGCTGGAAGCACTGTTTGTGGAGGTTAACAGATGTTGCTTTGCTGGATGAAATGCCTCACTCGCGTCAGGTTTTTGAGAGTTCATAGACTGTAGCTACTCCTGGATTCCTCTTTCTTCTTTGTGTTTATGGTTGAGTATGTGATCTCTCAGTTTCCTACTCTTGTTACCATCACCATGGTGGACTCTCCCTCCAAAACCATAATCTAAAATAAACTCTTCCCTCTATGAGTTCCCTTGGTCATGGCATTTTATCACAGCAACAGAAAAGTTACTAAAGAATTGTGCTTCTTGTCATTTCCAACACTCAAGAGGTTAAATCAAGAAAATCCAGAGTTTGAGGCTAGCCTGGACTGAGCAGCAAAACAGTATCTCAAAAAAAGCAACAGCTCCATTAATATACCAGATGTGGCCCAGATTGTAACCCACTGATCTCACCTGGAGGTTCTTAAAGTCTTGCCTTGGATACAACATAGATAAAGTATCCCTGGATCCCAGACCCCAGATAGCCCTAAAGAGGGTCCAGCGATGAAAAACAAGAAGGCCATCTCCAATAGCTTCTCAGAACCTGTCATGCCTCAAATATTCAGATCTGAAGTGAAGCCCAGACATGACCACTATCATGCATCTCAGTTGCAACAAACACAAATGCAAAAAAAAGGAGATGGAAATGTAATGTAAACTTGCAACAGCTGTGACCACACAGATGACATCACATAATTATGTTCACAAAATAAGCAACACGATCAGACATAAGACAGGGTATGTCCAGGTAAGAAAAATGGGGGAGCATCAGGGCCACAACCCAGCCTGCCTGCCTGATACACATTACATTATCAGCTAGAGGAATCACAGAGACCTCAGTTGTGGGCAAGCTGGAGCCAGTACAGTGTCTACCTGGAGTAAGGAGCATGGACTTCATGAACGTAGGGTGGTTTGGACTGGGGAGGTGACTCAGTGGATACAAGCACTTGCCTCACAAGCCTGAGGACCAGAGTATGAATCCCCCAAACAAGATTTGGCAGCATGTCTGTAATCCCAGTGTTTTTATGGCAAAATAGGAGCCAGATACAAGAGGGTTCTTCACCTTCCCCTGAAGCTTGAGGTCTACTCAACTCGTGTGCATATACTTGAGTAAACAATGAGAGACCCTGTCTCAAACAAGGTGGAAGTCAAGGATCGACACCCAAGTTGCCCTCTAACTTCCACACGTGAGCCATGGCATACGCATGCCTGCACTCACATGCACAAACATGCCCTCCCACAAGTATTTTAAAGAGTAAAGTGGGGTGGTTGGTTTAGATGCTCAAGTTCCAGGACATAATTGAAATAATTTGGCAGGCAGGGGGTGTCAGGCCCATGACTGGCAAGGGACAGAGCTGTGGTGACTCTTCTCTTTCCCTTCTTAGCCTGGTGTGTCCCAAGATGGGAAGATGAGAATGCAGAAGGGGACTAGACTGTGATGGGTGTCCTAAGGAGATTTCTGGGCCTTCACAAGACACCAACCAACATAAGGTGATCAACCAACTCAGTAGAGTTGGGTGGTTTGGAAATAACAGACCAGATTCTCTAACAGCCAGCCACCTGGCCCTGCCTTCAACATTCCTACTCGTGCCTACAGATACAGCTTGAACAACTCCTCCTCCAGGAAACCTCTGCATATAATTCTCACAGAGACCACACGTCTTCACTTAGCTGTCAGGGCCTCTCCCCCTCTGACAACACAAGGTTAGGGATGTCCCTGTCAAGTTCTATCTCAATAACTGACTTCCTCTAGGACAGGACCTTGGGTGGAAGACACCTGGAGACTGAGAAAAGTCCAGAACACCAAGATCCAGGTGAGGGCAGACAATAGAGTCATGTGGGAGCTGGTGAAACCATAAAGAGAAGAGAGAGGCTGACAGGGAAGAAAGGAGGGACTGGACCACTGCAGGAGCTGAACAGAAGTATGTGGTTAGGGAGTGGAAGCCCTTAAGTTCCCACCACCACCAGCTCCCATGGGTACCTGAGGCATTGAGGACAGATCGGACAATGTCAGAGTGGCACAGAGTGATGACGGGGAACATTGGGCCCATCCACATCATAAAGCCCTGGGGGTAGGTGACTACCAACTGAGTCAATGTCTTCATGCCCTGCTCTGTAGGAGTTACCTGCAAGCAACACAGGGACAGTCACCTCCTGAGGTGGTTTATATCCGGGATCAAGTTGGCTGAGTTAAGAGATGCCCAGGTAGGGATGCTCATGACCTCTGGGTGTGTCTGTGATGGTGCCTCAAAAAGAATTATTATTTGCATCGATAGACAGTGTGGAAAATACCATCCAACCCACTGAAGATCTAGAGAGACTAGGCAGAGAAGGGGAAAAGTCAATCCCTTTTCCAGAGCTGGGGCACCCATCTTCTCCTGCCATCAGATATCAAAATTCTGGTCTTTGAGATGTTGAGCTCCAGTGTTGTGAGTCTTTCTCTGTCCCACCTACAAGCTCCCAAATCATAACACAGAGACTTATTATTAATTATAAAAGATTGGCCAATAGCTTAGGCTTCTTTCTAACTAGCTCTTATAACTTAGATTAACCCATTTCTATTAATTTACTTTCTGCCTCATGTCTTTATTGCCTCGTCTCCTTAATGCCCATCTCTCTGCCTTGCTCTGCATTCCCTGGCATTTCCTCCTTCTTCCCAGTGTCCTCTCTGCATCCAAAATCCTGCCTAGCTATTGACTATTCAGATTTTTTGTTTGTTTGTTTGTTTTTGTTTTTTTTGAGACAGTGTTTCTCTGTGTTGAAGCTCTGGCTGTCCTGTAACTCATGTTGTAGACCAGGCTGGCCTCAAAATCATAGAGATCGACCTGTCTCTGCCTCCCGAGTGCTGAGATTAAAGATATGCACCACCATCACTTGGTGGCCATTCAGCTTTTTATTAAACCAATCTGAGTGATACATCTTCACAGTGTACAAAAAGATTATTCCACAACTCTTCAGTATTAACGCTTGAGCCCCTACACACCCCTGGGTTCTCATATTGTTGTTCCAAGACTGAGTTGTTCACAGCCCAGATTCCTGTTTGCAGATGGCATACTGAGGTACTCCTCCATCTCCATAAAGACATAAGCCAATTTCCATTATGCAATGTACCCCCTCTCTCTTCTACCCTGCTTTATATATATGTATAGATATGTATGTGTGTATACATAACTGTATATGCGTGATCATTGCTGCAGAATGATGTCTTTGTCAAAAACAGACAATGAAGCTAAAGAATCTCTGTTGCCTATTATTTTCCTTATACATTTCTATGTTTAGATACATTCAGATGCATAAATACCATGAAACAACAAATCACCTACAATATTGAGGATAGCACCATGATGTCCAGATTTGTATAGTAGAACAATGATTGGTACCATATAGTCTAGGTGTACAGTGAACTACACCTAGTAGATTTGTGTCAGTAGACTCTGAGGTCAGCACAGTGACAATACCACTTTTAGACAAATTTCTCAGAATGTCCTCATCACTTCTCCATATATCACACTCTCTCTCTCTCTCTCTCTCTCTCTCTCTCTCTCTCTCTCTCTCTCTCTCTCTCTCTGTGTGTGTGTGTGTGTGTGTGTGTGTGTGTGTACTATTTGTTCCACTTCTCCAGAAAACCATAACTAAGTCTCTTTCCCAGGAGCATTAGAGGTCCCTTCTGCAGCCTCTGGTAATGACACAGCTTCTGTCATAAGTGAACCTGTGTCTTAGTTTTGCAGGGATGAAGGGAACCCTTGCCTCTTTCTGTTTTGTTCCTCCCAGAGCCATGCCCAAGACCCAAGTGTCCACTCCAGACCCAGTGGACAAGTTAGGATATGTACCTATGACCTTTCATGTCCTGGCTGGTCCACAAGGTCTCCAGTTTGTCCCCTGGGCAAAGGGCCACACACCAGGGACCTCCAGCCTTATCAGGCTCCAGGGGAGCAGGAGTGACCTCTATGCCTCCATTAGGATAGCAGCTCCCACCCACCAACACCAGATGCCCACCAGCCTCAGAGCATCGGGAACCTCTATGCACAGCCCACACTGAGCCATGTGCAGGTGAAGCAGCTGGAGTAAGCCACCTAAATGGGAGATCAGATGGGAGTCAAAGTCCTAAGTGTGGGGTGAAGGGTGGGGTCAAGGAAGGTCCATGAGGGGGGAGTGGGCAAAGGGTGGGGTCAAGGAAGGTCCATGGCGGGGGAGTGGGCAAAGGGTGGGGTCAAGGAAGGTCCATGGGGGGGGAGTGGGCAAAGGGTGGGGTCAAGGAAGGTTCATGGGAGGGTGAGTAGGCAAAGGGTGGGGTCAAGGAAGGTCCATGGGAGGGTGAGTGGGCAAAGGGTGGGGTCAAGGAAGGTCCATGGGAGGGTGGGTGGACACTTTTTATCCAGGTAACACAACAGGGCCCACTGGTCTATCTTAGGGAAGAAGAGCACGGTAAGGAGGAAGTGGCCCAGGGAGGGAGGTGGGAGTCAGCCTGCAGCTCAGCTGTAGCCAGCTGTGCCCTGCCTGTGTGCAGTTAGGGACAGAGATCAAAGATCAATGCTAGAGAACTGTAGGACAGAGATGGACTCACACAAAGAAACTGCCACAGTCCCCGGGAGGCCTCAAGTCCAACAAGCAGACATTGAGGAAATGTCGGGGTCTTCACTCTGTGTCTCCCACCCTGAGAACTCAGTATCCTCCAGTGTGAGGAAGAGAGTTGGAAATGCCAGAGCAGACTGGGGTGGGAGCCCAGGGAAGTGAGAAGGGAAGGCATACCCAAGACCATCAGCTAACCCACCCCATCAGTCTGAGCCCCGTTCCTGGCCCCCAAAAGACCATCCACTCTGACACCCCCACCCATCCTGATGCCACACTTACCATGCCCACATGGCCCATAAGCCAGTTCTGTTTGGGGGGCTGAGGGAAACCACGGAGGCGACGGTAGTTCCCATAGGCAGCATAGATCTGGGTCAGAATTCGGGCCAGGAGCCAGAGGGCCCCAACCAGCAGCAGGAGCTGCCATGGGGAGGCCACCTCAGGCCACAGTCCCAGGGAGGACAGGCTCAGCTGTGACATCCTGCTGGGTGGATAAATGACCAGTGAATAACTGAGGGCTAGGAAAGGGGCAGGGGTCTCCAGAGACACTGGACAGAAGACAGAGCAGAAAGGAGGAGTGAGATCCCAGGAAATGAGGGGAAGAGTCTATAAGAGTAGACAAGAAAATGAGGAGGGGAAGGAGGAGCACGGGGATGAGGGGGAGGACCAGAGCTAGCAAAACATAGAGGAGGAGAGAGATTGATCTGGAGTCAAGACCTCCCGAAATTATGCAAAACTAACCAGGGGTTCAGTTATTCATAAACTACCGTCCCCAAGGCCAGCTGGCTCCCTGCAGCATCCATGCTTGGCCAGCTGGCTTTCTGCCCTGCCCTGGCCTTGGGTTGTGCCTTCCCTATCCCAGACTAGATCCCTGCAATATCACCACCCCCAGCCTGGCACCTCCTCTCAGGAACAGGAATCTACCATACCTTCCCTCTCCTCTTCTGGGACTCTTTTGTCCCTGGCTTCTGGACGCTGGGAGGCTGGGCCTTTCTAAGCCAGCCAATCTCTGCCACGCCTGGATGCCTCCTCCTTGCCTGGGAAAGTGGCCAAGATGGGGGAAGAATCAGCCTGGTGCAGAGAGGAATCATCATAAGCTGGCAAAACATGGACACCTGAATCTTAGGACTACTGTGGGACAAGGCTGATGCTGAGTTACGTATTTCCAGCATCCTTGCTCCTCCATGGATATGGTACACTAAGAAAAGGGTGAACTTGGAAATCCACAAGCTGGGAGATCAGAATCTAGCCAGCATGGTGCCTGATCATTTCCTGAGCTCCTGTCCAATGGGCTGTGAGGATGGCAGGCACCGTTTTTCAGTACAATATGAGAAGGCTCTGGGACTGAAGAGTCCACCCACCAGCTACTCAGCCTGGTGGCGTTCAAGTCCTGCCTTCCCAGCAGAAACAAGACTTTCCAGAGCAGGAACAAAAATGAACCCCAACTGGGGTTTCCATGTCCAAAACCAGGCATCAGGAATACAGTTGAGACTGGGATGGTTAGAGCTGGGAAGTGCACAGTCATGTGCGGGTGAGAGAGACCTTGAACAGATGGGATCCAGGGGAAGGTAAGTGTGTGTGTGTGTGTGTGTGTGTGTGTGTGTGTGTGTGTGTGTGTGTGTGTGTGTGCCTGTGGAAGCCAGAAGAAGACATCTTCTCTCCTATAGCTGGAGTCACAGGTGGTTGTGAGCCACCTGACATGGGTGCTGGGAACTGGTCCTCTGGAAGGGCAGGGACATTCTTAACTGCTGAGCTCTCTCTACTTCCCTCCACTTTCTTCTTTCTTCCTTTTTCCTTCTTTTCTTCCTTTCTTTTTTAATTTCTCTTTCTCTTCCCTCCCTCCCTCCCTTCCTTCTCCCTTTTTCTTTCTTTCTGATTTTTTTTTTTTGAGAGAGTTTCTGTGTAGCCCTGGCTGTCCTGGAACTCACTCTGTAGACCAGGCTGGCCTTGAACTCAGAGATCCACCTGCCTCTGCTTCCTGAGTGCTGGGATTAAAGGTGTGCACCGCCACACCCAGCCCACCTCCTTCCTTTTCTGAAATGGAGTCTAAATGACATTTTAGTTAATATTCACTCTTCTGTATGATCATGATTTGTGCATTTTGTTGTTCTGAGTCAGTGTTTATGCTTTGTAGCTAAAGACGACTTAAGCTTCTAAACCTCCTAATTTCAGCCCTGAGTGCTGGAATTACAGGTGTGCTCCAGAATTCTCCATTTATGCAGAATTGGAGACCAAACCCAGGACCCTCTTCTTTTTTTAACTTATTTTTAGTTTATATTCATTGGTGTTTTGCCTGCATGTGTGTCTCCGTGAGGATGTCAGAAGCCCTGGAACTGTAGTTACAGACAGCCATGTGGGTACTGGGTGTTGAACCCATTCCATTACATCTGGAAGAGTAGTCAGTGCTCTTAACTGCTGAGCCATCTCTCCAGTACCTCCTCCCTTCCCTTCCCAGGGCCTCTTCTATGCTAGGCAAGCACTCTACAAAACCAGCCTTCTGATTTATATTAAGCACAGGAGAGGAACAAGGACTTCCAGGAAGAGTGCACAGGATCAGGTACTGCTTAGGCTATAGGGACAGGGCAGAGAGGAGGAGGGATACTCATGGAAATGTATGGGAAGGGATGAGAGGGGAACAGAGATAGTGAGGAGGAGGAAGAGGAAGAGAGGGAGATTAGACAGCGAAGACATGGAAAAGAGAAACTGATTAAAGTTCCCACCTGTCTAAGTCATATGGGCATTACTTGTGACTCAGTTGCCTAGAAATCCTTATCTCTTGGACCACCTGGCCCCTGCTGCTACATTCCTTTTAGCAGTGTTCACACCCCATCCTGAGCCAGGACCCTGTAGCCCCACCAGCATCAGCTTGGTACCTTCTCATGTGCTCCCCACAGCCTCCTCTCCCCTCTTTTGGGACATCTTTGTCTCTGGCTCCTGGAGGGGTTTATGAGGGGCTGGGTTGGACTAGACCAGCCAATCACTTCCAGACCTAGCTGCTTGCTCCTGGCCTGGGAAGGTGGCCAAGATGTGGGGGTAGGGCTGGCCTTGTTTAAAGGTAAGGCAACCAGGCTTGTAAAGCACTTGATCCTTAGAACTTGGGCACTCCCTTCTGGGATGAGGGGCAAGAATGGAGGTGTGGGCAATAGTAATTCTGAGTTACCACATGTCCAGCACCCATGTCCTTGTAAGGACAGGATACATTAGGCAAAAGAACAGAATCATAGGCCAGGAGTCCAGGATCAGGTAATCACAGCCCCAGAGAGGTTTGCAAGGTGGAAGGATGGTGTGCAACATTTTTTTGGTGTGGAACTAAGGTTCTGTGATGCTCCTGCCTGGCAATCTCACAGCCTGGGAAAATTCATGTCCTTACCCTAAGGCTTTGAATGTAAGCAGACCAGGGCCCAGGTGAAAAGGATCAGTTATAAAGAATCCAGCCCTGTTGGAGATTACCCAGGTCAGATTGCAAAGATAATGAGCCCAGCTGCCAGAACATGGTTGGGGCTGGGCTGAGCTGCAGGGCAAGGGGTACAGGCACTAGGGCACATGTGGGGTGGGACTGAAAAGGGTTCTGAGGAGATGGTGTCCACACAGGGGAGGGCAGAACAAAGGAACACTGAGTGAGTCCTCTTCCTACCCCATCTTTCTCTGACTGTGGGGAGGGCCAGCTCTCTTGACTGTAGTTCTCACAGCTGGGGAAGGAGCTGTCCATAGAGCCTCTGAGGAGAAGAAAGGAGTGCCAACAGAGGGAGTGAAGGAAGAGCCTGGTAATTGCTACTGGAGCTGCTGTGAGCAAACACTGTAAGTAGAGAGTGTATCGCATGTAGGGAAATGTCTTACTTAGCATTTCTATTGCTGCGATGAAACACAATGACCAAAAAGCAAGGTCGGGGAAAAAGAGTTTATTTGGCCTATACTTCCACATTGCTCTTCATTATTGAAGGAAGTCAGGACAGGAACTCACACAGGGCAGGAACCTGGAGGCAGGAGCTATGTATGCGGAGGCTGTGGAGGGTGCTGTTTACTGACTCGCTTCCCATAGCTTGCTCAGCCTGCTTTCTTATAGAACCCAGGACCACCAGCCCAGAGATGGCACTGCCCATAATGTGCTGGGCCCTCCCACACTGATCACTAATTGAGAAAATGCCTTACAGCTAGATCTCATGGAGGCATTTCCTCACCCGAGACTCCTTCCTCTGACAACTCTTTATGTGTCAAGTTGACATACAAAACCAGCCAGTACAGGAAAGTACTACATTGTGCAGCATCTTTCCCATAAAACTTGTTTACTGTACACCAGGTGGCTATATTCTGGATCTGGAATCAACTAAGAGGAATTCCTTCAGACAAGCTTATGAGGCTATTTCCTGGAAAGATTAACTGGAAAGGAAGACCCTCCCCTAGAAGGCAACACCTGTCGATTGCAGCCCAGATACAGAGAGATCTGAAGGAAAAGCAGGGTTGCCTTTTCCTGTCCACCTTTGCTCCTTGCTGGTGAGTGGGTCTACTCTGAATCTGCCACTGTTTGCAGACACTGGAATCTATATTCGTCATTCTTCCAATGTAAACTGAAGACCAATGGTTCTTCAGGTACCCTCAAGGTTTTGAACTGCTGAAGCATCCAGCTTCATGGACTGAGCAAGTACAAGGTTCTCAACTTCACTATATAGACATCTTAACCTCTCTACCATACAGACTCTGCCAGAACTGTGTAAGACATGCTAACATACCCCTTAGTAATGTATTTTCATTGTTTTGGTTCTCTTCCTCTAAAGGACTGTGATGACCATGATGGTATAAGGTGTGTCTATTCTTGCATGCAGGCAACCTCAAGTTTTCCTATAATGAGCTCCTCAGCAGTCTGGGCCAGAGTCCTGGATGTCACAGGGGGAGACACAAGTGATGGAATCCAGAGAAGAAAAGATGTTTATTTAATAGAAGAGCTAACTGCCGCTCAGGAGGACAAGCCCTTAATCCAGATCACATGATTCCCCTTGAACCACCCTGGAATCTGTCCAGACTTACTCTGTGATTGGTCCCAGAGAGCAAGTGCTCAAAGAGTCATATTCCTAGCAGAACTACTATGAGGGAAGGGAACGAGGAGTGTGTGTGTGTGTGTGTGTGTGTGTGTGTGTGTGTGTGTGTGTGCGCGCCTCACCTCCCTCTACCTGCCTCATTGCCACCTTAGTTCAGTCAGCAAGAGCATCAGGAGTCTGTCTCTAAAGCCCTCAGAAGGGTGGTATGTGACTTTCCCAGAATCCCCACTGCAGTCCTGGACACACACATTGAACCCATGAAGACTTCTCCCTTTGTGCCTGCTGTTCTCAAACTGTCCTATAGAGGGAGGCTTTTCCAAGGTCAGGAGACAAACAGGACCCACACTAGCCTGGGAGAAGCAGGCATCTGTAGCAGTTTCAGGTCCCCACAGACCCCCATCCCCCAACTCTTCATGAACATTGTGATGCTAGGCAGAGTCTTCAAAGCCTATCAGAGCAGGAAATGAAACAATGTAGCAAATATTACTCTATGAAACCGTTGGCTGCACCATAAAGAAAAGAATGGAGCATTTCCTGGTGAAATGAATCACTTTTTAAAACTGATGGGCACCATAAAAATGTACTCAGTTGTACAAATATGTGCAAGACATCTATGATGAAAACCTCAAGGCACTGATGAGAGGAATTCAAGGCGATCCAAATAAATGGAGAGACATACAACATTCATGGATAGGATAACTTAATAATGTTAAAATGCTGATTCTGTTCAAATTGACCTATTGATTTAAAGAAGTCTTTAACAAAATCCCAGCAACACTCTTTGTAGAAGTAGACACACTGACTTTGAAATTAATTAATTTTGAGACAGGGTCTCACCATGTAGGTCAAAGTGTCCTGGAACTCCCTAGATCCACCTGCCTCTGCCTCCTGAGTGCTAGGATCAAAGGTACGTACTACCATGTTCCGGTAATTATGAAATTTATGTGAAAACCCAAAGAGCACAGAATTGCCAAAATTTATTTGAAAATAAAAATATTTATTTTATATAGAAGAATATATAATAGAAGAATATTTAATAGAAGAATCCCTATTACTCCCTTCAAAACATGCTATATAGTTATGAGAATCACTAGGCTGGAGAGACAGCTCAGAAGTTAAGAGCACTTGCTGCTATGGCAGAGGATCAGGGTTGTTGTATATTTTGTTTGTGTTCTGACAAATAAAGCTTGCCTGGAGATCAGAGGGTGGAGCTAGCCACTAGTTAACCATAGAGGCCAGGCGATGGTGGCAGACACTTTTAATCACAGCACTTAGGAGACGGAAGCAGGGAGATCAGGAGTTCAAGGCCACTCTGGGTTACATGAGATTGAACCTGTCTAAAAGCGAAATGGAGCTGGGTAGTGGTGGCTCACACCTTTGATCCCAGCACTTGGGATCTCATGCCTTTAATCCCAGAACTAGGGAGATGGAGATAGGAATATAAGGTGGGTGGAGACAGGATCTCCTCGCTTCAGTCTGAGGATTCTTAGAGACAGGACCCCTTCCCCTCCTATTTGGTCTGAGGATTTGCAGAAGTAAGAAGTCTCTGGTGGCTGCTGCTCTGCTTCTCTGATCTTTCGGCTTTCATCCTCACATCTGACTCTGGGTTTTTATTGTTAAGACTAATTAGGATTGCACAGGGTTCTATTCTCAGG